CAGCAGGAGAAGGAAAGACAAACAAGATTTTCTGTATGGATTGGAGTTATACACGTATCATTGTTGCAACTTCCATTGCTGCAAATCGTGATAGTCTAATGGGTGTACTGGCTGCATCCAAATGTTTCCTTGCAGTGATTGGTAGGGGTTTGGTGCTGGAGGGTTGGTTGTGTTTGCGTCTTATTTCATTTTTTGTTTAAACCATATCATATACCTTGCGGTCTTAGTGAATAGAAATGTTTCCCAGTCAGTGTCTTCTAGTGGCCAAGATCCCAGGATACCAGTCAGAAACCAAGTGCCCTTATACTCAGTAGCTAAAAAGCTTCCTCCAGCCAGTTGTTTGTCTACGGCCTTCTGGAGATGTCCACAAAACTGCCTGTTTGTGAGGCTTATGTTGAGTATTTGTTTGCAGTCCTCAACAGGAAGGTATGAAACCTGCAACTCATCACCTTGAAGTTCATCACCTTCCATTCTCCAGCCACTGACTGTACCAGCCAATTTTGGAATTAAAATGTGTTCTGCAAAGTCTCTTTCAGGGATGCATACAGGAAGCTGGTGGTTGTTGCACTCAACGTGCTCTCGGAGTTGTAGTAATGCAATGTTGTTCTCACCACTGTCTTCATCATACCTGATGTGTATGTGTTTCTCATTAACTTGCATTATCTTCTCAGTTCCACTTGTTCCATTGTGCCCTGTGAAGCAATGACATTTCACTGCTCTTAGGAATAATTTATCAGAGACCTGAAAACTGCATGCAGACTGACAACAGCTGCCTAGTCGTGCTGAGAAATACATGCAGTAGAGAAACTAAAGGCGCTCTTTCTTGAAACGGGTAAACTACGAATGATATCTTGACAGCTTTTTAATGCTGTGTAGAAGCATGCATAATTTCAGAGGGAAGGACAAATTCTTCCCAACAAGAGAAGTAAATTTTTTGGCATGAAAGAATTTTTTCCTTGGGGGGGGGAAGAAGCCACCTCCAAATCCACCTGGTTTATCTTATCCCTAGGTGCTGAGTTGTGAATTGCGTTTGAGAGGTAGTTGTCTCTCTGCTTACCTTGTAGAGGGGCGTGGGACAGCTGTAGTTCTAGCTCAAGATACTTAACTGAGATGCTTAGATGAGATGACAGCAGATTTGTTTCCTTTAACAATATTTTTATGCAGCAGGAA